AGAAGTGAACTGTTGAGAGGAGTCACGTGCTAGAACTAAACACCTATCTAGTGCTTTGAGGTTGGCCTTAATCACTGATGAGAAGTACTTTGCAATTACTCATCCACAAAACCTTTAATCGAACTGAAGTTAGTTAAAAATCTAGTGTGTATCCAGATGAGTATCACTACTGTTCAGGTTAGTATACCGTAGGTTGCTTTCGAGCTTGAGAGTAGAACGTTTGACAACAAGTTGAATGTTACTCAAATTACATCAAATGCTTTGCTTCTTCTTCTTTTGTTTTCTATCGGCCATCTATCCATTTTAGGTTTTTAATCCAGATGTTAAAGAGGATAGCACATTTGATATATTCTTTGGACGATCGTTGGATCCAACCTCAATATACAATAACGGTGAGTTCAGTACGGGGCAGTATATCCCTTGTGATTTATCAGGGGTAATCGGATTTCAATTTCCAAAAACGTGTTGTAAATTGTAGCCTTTAAACTGACTGTGGTAAGATATAAATTGAATGATGAAAGTTTTATTATTAGGGAAGTGTTTAGATTTCCTGAAGGTTTTAGAAAAAAAGAGGGGAACTAATATCCTGTGGTTTTCTTGAAGATTCTCTTTGAATTATGTCTATCTTTCTTGTTTGAACTATCTCTACATTTTATCGGTTAGAATATATTGTCACTTTGTCCGTTACATATAATGATCATGGTTGATAATTGAAGGTGAGATGAAAACTTGCGCCACAACAGGATTTCAACCAACGACCGCCATTGGGTTTTGTGTGAACATACAGTCACGAATGGTTGAACATATGCTTTAAATAGCTGCGGAATGTAAATGACCTCGAATAGTTTGATAAGTGCAGGTGACAGACGTCATTCCTCATTGATTGTAAAACATATATTAGAAATTGGTCATAGGATTATAAACAATATACAGGCGATAGTTGTTACGAATGTTCCAAAAGAAGTTGAACACCAAATCAAGTTTAATAATCCTCTAAAGTAGGTTTGATTTATAAACACGCTACGATTACATACTAAAACTAACTTATATTATGGTTATACAATTGATATGAAGATAATCTTTACTGTACCGTTTAGATATAGTCAAAGATGAATACTTACATTTATCGAAAAACTTCTTATCCATACATCCAGACCCCTTTCTATGTATTCAGTAACAACTTGTAGAGATCGACTAAATTTACCCTGGTAAAATAGTGAGTTGTACTTTTCATACTATTCATGATGGTCATCTGACCTTTTATTTTCTTTCTCTCTTCATCTCATTCTGCCCTTGTTACCCATCTTAGTTATAATTCCATTGGTTTAATTAACCTTTCTATGTTTTATATGAATTATACAACAAGTTCATGTGTGTGTGTGTGCATGCGCTAATAGTTCATCACATGTTTCACATAGTCCTCCATCTTCACAGTACCGCTATTTAGATTAGAAATATGTTTAAACTTTTAACATGACTTTCCCTATGTTAGTGATAGATCATGACTAGCAGTGGAATCCAGGATGCGCATTTCGTCCTATTTGCGACTCGTCACCTGGATTCCACTGCTAGTTACGATCCATCATTAACATAATTAGAACAATGGCAATATCGAGGCATCCACATAGGGGCCCATATGCTAATAGAGACCGATCAATTCGGTACAATCAACGACGGTATCATATAAAAAACAATTATACTAATGACTTTCTCTGATTTAAACAATAAAAATTTCTACAGACAGATAACTTTTTAAGACAATGAATTCCCTTCATAAACTCCGACAAAACAATAAGATGTAAATTGTCTGAACTGCGTAGTTTGTATTTGTGAAAGACATTTCGAACACGCTGATCACATATACATGTATTACTCGTCACAGTTAGGTATCTACATAAAAATTCATGTTGATTAGAGATGAGGAAATGAGAAGAGGTCAAATAGGAGCGCCGATAAACAATGGGAATCACAGA